ATCTATCTATCTATCTATCTATCTATCTATCTATCTATCTATCTATCTATCTATCTATTATGAGATACCATGCAAACCCCTGAGAGGGATCTAAATACCTATGTGGTCTCAACAGGACCGAGCAATGGAAGAAAACCTAACTGCAGTGACAGACTTTATCTTCCTGGGCTTCTCAGACCTCCAGCATCTGCAGCCCCTTCTTTTTGTCCTCGTCTTACTCATCTACCTCTTCACACTGATAGGAAATGGCCTTATCATCACTGTCACAGTTGCTGACCTGGCCCTCAACACCCCTATGTATTTCTTCCTCAGGAACTTGTCAGTATTGGAGATCTGCTACACTTCCGTGGTCATCCCTAAGACCTTGACCAACCTCCTTTCAGAGAGGCAGGCTATCTCTTTCCTAGGCTGTGCAGTCCAGATGTACTTCTACCTTTTCTTTGGCAGCACAGAGTGTGGCCTGCTGACTGTTATGTCCTATGACCGGTACGTTGCCATATGCAACCCAATGCGTTACTCACTCATCATGAGCAGAAAGGTCACCCTAAGCTTGACAGCTGTGGTGTGGATCGTGGGCAAGCTGGTGGCATGTGAGCAAACGGCAGCCATATTCACGTTACCCTTCCACGGGCCGAATCAAATCAACCACTTCTTCTGCGACGTCCTCCCAGTGCTTAGGCTGGTGAGCACGGACACATCACTCATCAATGCCATTCTTTCTTTCCTCACTATGGTGTTCACAATAGTCCCCTTAATCTTAATCATCATCTCCTATGCAAGCATCATCTGGACCATTCTGAAGATGCACTCAGGTGAGGGGAGACGCAAAGCTTTCTCCACTTGCTCCTCACACCTAATCACAGTCATCTTATTCTACTGCAGCGGCTTTATCACCTACATGAGGCCCAGTTCCAATGTGTCTGTGGACACCGATCGAGCCCTCGCCCTGTTGTACACGGTCATTATTCCAACATTCAACCCAATCATATACAGCCTGAGGAACAAAGAAGTCAAGGAGGCTCTGAAGAAATTCTTGACCAGGAGTAACATTTCTTTGTTCTCATAAATACAGTTGTTTCTTCTGATCATTGAACCCCATTAAAGTATCTCAACTTGGGAGGTGTCTCAAAGTGGGAAAATGTCTGTATTATTGCTTAACAATATGATGTATAATTTCATTTCTCTTTTTAATACTATATTGCCATCTAACTGGGGGATAGCTCAGTGGTCTGAGCATTGGCCTGCTAAACCCAGGGTTCTGAGTTCAATCTTTGAGTGGTCCTTAAGGGATCTGGGGTAAAAATCTGTCTGGGGATTGGTCCTCCTTTGAGCATGGACTAGATGACCTTTTGCGGTCCCTTCCAACCCTGTGATTCTATGACTGTGTAATGTTAAAGCAAAGGAGGTTGTAAAGTGTGCTGTTAAGGAACCCATGAAGGGTGAACCCATGAAGGGTAAAACAATGACTCAGATATTTCAGCCTCTGAGGTACCCACTTCAGAGGGTTAAGACAACAATGGGCTGGGTCATCAACTGGGGGAAGAACTGACCTGGCTGGTACCATCCATAAGAGGATGTTTTACTCTTCCTAAGGCTAGGGATGAGATCAAAAGACCCTGAAGGGTTAAAAAAAGAAGTGGTCGGCTCTGCTGGAACCTGACAAAAAGACATAGAGCCATCAGGGTGAAGAAAGACAGACGGACAGAGTGAGAGGCAGGAACTGCAGTGGTCAAGCTGTAACTTGGTGCCCAGAGAGAACAGGAGACACCAAGGGTGGGTCATGTCTACCAGGGGGCTGGAGGGGAATGCCAAACGTAAGGATGACAATGGGTCCTATAGGTCTTTTTGTTATTTTAAAAATCTGCTTCTCTAAGCACTGTGCATGTTTTGGATAAATACTTCTGCTTCTGTGTCACTGCAAATTATTCCTGACCACAGGGTCCCAAAGGGGAACTTCAGCAGAGTCCAAGCACATCTGGACCTGAGAGGTAATGGGGTTGGCACCCATGAAGGGGGAAACTGGTGACCCCGTTGGAGTGTGGCTGGATTTCTGGATCCCACCCCAGAGAGAAGTAGAGGCATGAGCTGACCACATGGGACTGGAGAAGGGTCTCGGAAAGGGGCAGCTTACTCAGGAGGCATCCAGAAGGGCAGGTCACATTTAAAGTCTGGCCTGTATTTTATTACATCCATGTTTTAGGAAAGATGTGGACAAATTGGAGAGAGTCTGGAGGAGAGCAACAAAAATGATCAAAGGGTTAGAAAACCTTACAGGAAGAAAAGTTAAAGAAACTGGGCACGTTTAGTCTTAAAAAAAGAAGACTGAGGGGTGAACCTGACAACAGTCTTCAAGTATGTATAAAGAGGATGGTGATCAATTGTTCTCTATGTCCATTGAAGATAAAACAAGAAGTAATGGGCTTAATTTGTAGCAGGGGAGATGTAGTTTACAGATTAGGAAAATCTTTCTAACCAGAAGGGCAGTTAAATTCTGGAACAGGCTTCCAAGGGAGGTTGTGGAATCCCCATCATTGGAGGTTTTTAAGAACAGGTTGGACAACACCTAGCAGAGCTGCTCTAAGTTTACTTGTTCCTGTCTTAGCACAGGGGGCTGGACTTGATGACCTCTCGTGGTCCCTCTCAACCCTACGTTTCTATGAATGTCTGACAACTACAACTGCCTAAATGACTTCTAATCTCCTACCAACAGCATTTTCTGTTAAAAAACAAACAAAAATAAAAACACCTGGGAAATTCACTCACAAAGAATTTATGAAAGCAGAGTTAGATTTGTACAGGGCTGGTGACATAGCATGCCTATGTGCTTTAGCAATTTTGTGATTGTCACCTTCATTGAGACCTTTGTTTTCCATTGTAACCTCCTTGTTGGTTTAGAACATCCAGATGCTAGTGAAAAAGCGGCCCATTCTGACAGCATCAGTCTTTTCTGAGCACTGCTGCCCCTGCTAGAGTGCAGGATGCCTTGAAATCACTCACAGGGAGAGATCCATCACTGGCCATCAACACATACTGATTCTTCTATCCTGGAACAATAGGTTTTCTGCTGGCAGGGCCGCAGACTTTGATTGACTCCCTACACAGAAGCAAACAGGGGTAGGATTTGGAGCTGGGAAATTCCCTGAGCAAAAGCACCTGGAAACAGGACGTGGCTATGAGACTCAGCATCTCCTGAGGATGCTGACCAGAACCAGGTCTGCCAGGGGTGGTGAGATCAGACTGAGAGGGGTGCCTTGAGGATGTTGTTTTCCTAAGTTCTGTACCTCTGGTGTTGTGTTGTAAAGTGTTTGCGTCTCTTGCTTTCCTGCTGCATTGTCCCTGAAGGATTTGTCTGGGCTCCCACTGCCAGGTGAGGAGGAATGGGTATAAGTAACTGGTGGACGGAAGAAATTAGTCAGTTGTTTTGTGGTCTAAGACAGGTGGACTGCAGACTCCCACTGCCCAAGAAGGGTGTCATGCATGGGACCCTCACCTGGCAATATGCCTGAAAGTGACCCAGAGCTAGGGACAGTGACCAGTCACTATCTAGACCAAGAGGGGTTAGAATCACATGGGAACCATAGTTTGGGTCTGAGTACAACAGACTGATGTCTGACCAGGGGGAGGTCAAGGCCAGGTTAGAACAGCACCCATTAAAATAAATGAGGTAGTTCACACTTCCAAGCTGTTGTTTCAGGCTCTCTGTATACTCAGGCAGGCATTGCCACAGGGGTTTCACTCAGGTCATATTTGCTAGGTTTTCTTTGCCACCACACCATCTAAAGACTTAGGGCTAGATTCACAAGGAGGATTTAGGTGCCTTACTGCCTAACTTAGGCCTGGTCTACACTACGAGTTTAGGTCGACTTTAGCCGCGTTAAATCGACTTAAGCCTGGACACGTTTACACTACGAAGCCCTTTCTTTCGACTTAAAGGGCCCTTTAAACCGGTTTCTTTACATCACCTCGACGAGGGGATTAGCGATAAAATCGGCCTTAGGGGGTCGGAATTGGGTTAGTGTGGACGGAATTCGACATTATTGGCCTCCGGGAGCTATCCCACAGTGCTTCATTGTGACCGCTCTGGACAGCACTCTCATCTCAGATGCACTGGCCAGGTAGACAGGAAAAGCCCCGCGAACGTTTGAATTTCATTTCCTGTTTGCTCAGCGTGGAGAGCACAGGTGACCATGCAGAGCTCATCAGCACAGGTAACCGTGATGGAGTCCCAGTCCCAGTCCCAGGATCGCAGAAGAGCTCCAGCCTGGACCGAACGGGAGGTACAGGATCTGCTCGTCATCTGGGGAGATAAAGCAGTGCTCGCCGAACTCCGAAGCAGTAAAAGAAATGGCAAAACATTAGAAAAGATCTCCAAGGCCATGAAGGACAGAGGCCATAACAGGGACGCACAGCAGTGCCGCGTGAAAATTAAGGAGCTAAGGCAAGCCTACCACAAAGTCAGAGACGCAAACGGAAGGTCCGGGGCTGAGCCGCAAACATGCCGCTACTACGCGGAGCTGCATGCCATTCTAGGGGGTGCAGCCACCACTAGCCCAAGCGTGTGCTATGAGTCCCTCGCTGGAAACAGGGAAGCGGGTTCGGCGGATGAGGAAGATGAGGATGGAGAGAACATAGATAGCTCACAGCAGCAAGGAAGCGGAGAAACCAGTTACCCCAACAGCCAGGATATGTTTGTCTCCCTGGACCTGGAACCAGTAACCCCCGAACTCACCCAAGACCCTGAGGGCACACAGGGGACCTCTGGTGAGTGTACCTTTGTAAATATTACACATGGTTTAAAAACAAGCGTGTTTAATGATTAATGATTAATTTGCCCTGGCAATCGCGGCCAGTACAGCTACTGGAAAAGTCTGTTAACGTGTATGGGGATGGAGCGGAAATCCTCCAGGGACATCTCCAGAAAGCTCTCCTTCATGTACTCCCAAAGCCTTTGCAAAAGGTTTCTGGGGAGGGCTGCCTTATCCCGTCCGCCATGGTAGGACACTTTACCACGCCAGGCCAGTAGCACGTAGTCTGGAATCATTGCATAACAAAGCATTGCAGCGTATGGTCCCGGTGTTTGCTGGCATGCAGACAACATCCATTCCTTATCGCTCTTTGTTATCCTCAGGAGAGTGATATCATTCACGGTCACCTGGTTGAAATGGGGTGATTTTATTAAGGGGACATTCAGAGGTGCCCCTTCCTGCTCTGCTGAACAGAAATATTCCCCACTGTTAACCACGCGGTGGGGGGGAGGGGTGAAGTGACCATCCCAGAGAATTGGGTGTGTGGGGGAGGGGAGTTAGTTGGGTTTGTGCTGCATGTTAAACCTGAAACCGCAGCCCCTCCTTTTACATTGCAAACCCATTTTAAATGGCCAACCCAACGGGTGCTTGGTATGGTTAATGAGAGCAGTACTGTTTTAAAGCATCCCCACTTGTTAACAAGGTTAAAAAAGCCAAAAGACTGTGTCTTACCATGGCTGCCTGCAAGCTGAAATCTGTGGCCTGGCACTGCGTGAGTGATCTCTCACACCAAACCGGCAGGCCCTCAATATAAGAGGAAAAATGCGACCTTGTAACGAAAGCACATGTGCTGTGTGATGTGAACAGCAAAATCTAACGTGAAAGAGTGTACCCATTGTTCTCTAAAATGTATGTTTTTTAAACAGCTCTCCCTTCTCCTCCACCAGCTGCAAATGTTGCACCTTCACAGAGGCTAGTGAATATTCGAAGAAGGAAGCGAAGGACGCGTGACGAAATGTTCACTGAACTACAGACTGCCTCCCACGCTGACAGAGCACAGCAGAATGCGTGGAGGCAGTCAATGACTGATTTTAAAAAAGCCCAATATGAGCGAGAGGAGAGGTGGCGTGCTGAATCGCGGGCTGAAGAGGAGAAGTTGCGTGCTGAAACGCGGGCTGAAGAGGAGAGGTGGCGTCAACTTGTAATCAGAAAGCAAGAGTCGATGCTCCGGCTGCTGGAGCATCAAAGTGATATGCTCCTGCGTATGGTTGAGCTGCAGGAAAGGCAGCAGGAGCAGA